TAACTTATTTTGTTTGGTTAAAAAAATTGTATATTCCCCAAAATTTCTCCCCACTATTATTCAAGCTTGAAGCCTTGAATGTTGTTCACTAAAGAAAAGACATGCCTACAGCATGTGCTTGTATGTACTGTTGTATAATCTATTGCGTGCTTTGGTTTTGAAGGTAACTGCTACATTGAGAGAGGCTGGTCTTCCATCATCAAATCTGAAGGGCCTCTTTAGATCCCATCCTGGGGGGCAGAGCAGCAGAAAGCTTTGGATAATATTAAGGCATATATGAGTTCCCCTCCGGTTTTAATTCCTCCACAGAAGGGAGTGTCTTTCAAGTTGTATTTATCAGCCGATGAGAAGTCAATTAGCTCAGTTTTGATTCAGGAGTTAGAAGGCAAGGAGAGGGCTATTTTCTATTTAAGCCGTAGGCTCTTGGATGCAGAAACAAGGTATTCTCCAGTGGAAAAATTATGCTTGTGTTTGTATTTCTCTTGCACAAAGTTGAGGCATTACTTACTATCCAATGAATGCACTGTTGTATGCAAAGCCGATGTGATCAAATACATGCTATCGGCTCCGGTTTTAAAAGAGAGAGTTGGAAAGTGGATATATGCTTTGACAGAATTTGATCTCAGGTAATCCAAGGCAGTCAAGGGGCAAGCTATAGCCGATTTTATTATGGAGCATCGTGATAATTCAATCGGCTCGATTGAAATTGTGCCCTGGACTTTATTCTTTGTTGGGTCAGTTTGCGAGCCAAAAAAAATGGTTAATCAACGGAGTGACAATGGTTTGATCCATAACACTCGGCGTGATGAGATCTCTCTCAAGGCAGTATCAGAGGGATTTAAACGAAAAGAGTGGTGAAATATTTGAGAGTGACACCATATAAGGTATCTTGGGAACTCTCTTACTTTGGGAACTGTTAGAGAATCGTAAGTGGCAATTACACCCTAGTGGTGTGATTATGAATCATGGATGGTTTTCCATTGCTCATGGCAGCCACTATAAATTCCAGAAATCATCATGATGTTCCTCGGAACTTGACAGAAATTGTTCTGTACGTGGGTCAGAAGCATACGGAGTCAAGTACAGAAAGGTGTAGTCAGTAAGGTATATGACAGAGAACCTCTTTTTAACGGATCATCTTTACCGAAGTTATGAAAGCGAAGTTGTTATGATCAAAGGGCTGAAACTCTCGACAGCATCAAAGTCAGTTTCCATCAGACGCTCAGATTCCAGTACTTTTGGGAAAGTAGCTGCGGGGCCTATAGTCCGTCAACCCAGAAAGAGTCAGCAAAGGATGATCGAAGAAGTGAGAAGCCATATCAGGAGAAGGACCTTTTAAGTTTGATCTGTTAAGTGATCACTGTATGTTTCAGAGAATGTCAACCATGCCATCCGTTCAGGCATACAACACCGAAGCCAGGCCTGAAGCAGGACAGTTATGCTAGCAGTAGAACTAATGGGGAATGTCAGTCAATAGTCAGTATGCTCATGAGCTAAATGAGAATTTCTTTGTGTGGAATCGCCTATCATCAGCTAAGGGTTAAGCTCCATGTCTCGCCGGGACGAAAGTGCATCGTCATTGCTTCATTTTGATTGATCGATGAAGTTTTCAGTTTTCAAAGTCAGGGCTCTTTGCAAATCAGAGGAGTGTTGTTATTTTTCAAGGACAGCAGTTTAATTGTTCCCAGTCAGGCGGAAGTATGACTACTCTCTGTAAGGGGGTTAGGTCGCAGAGATGAGTTTTGGCTTACCTCGTCGCTGTTTCCCTTAAAGATTCAACCCAGTGCAGCCATCCGGGTAGTATTCAACATATTTTTTTTTCTAAAAAATTGATGCATGGAAATGAAGTGCTAATTAAGTTACCAAAAAGTAGGATTGCAGTCATCACTTTAAATCCAAAATTCGTAATGACTTGCATAAACATAGTTAAAAATTAAATGTCAATATATAATTAATTTTGCTGGAAGCCTTTCATGTTTCCAGGAATAACCCGTAAACATTTAATAGAGCTTGAAAATCATCATTAAGCTCTAACCTGATTCTTGGGAGTAGCATGCGCCTGAGCCAAAATTTCTAAGGCCGTGTTTAGTTTCAAAATATTTCTTCAAACTTCCAACTTTTCCATCACATCAAAACTTTCCTACACATAAACTTCCAACTTTTCCGTCACATCGTTTTAATTTCAACCAAACTTCTAATTTTAGCGTGAACTAAACACAACGTCATGTTCACTTGTATACATATCCGCAGACAATACTACAATCACACCAGAAATTGCATATCTACATAATTGCCCTCAGATTCAAACTGTATCTACCATCGCTAGCTGGTGAGCTCACATTTCTAACATGTCAATCTACGTTCAGTCATGCAAATAATCTACTCCCTCCATCCCCAAAATGTTTGACACCGTTGACTTTTTTAAAAACGTTTGACCGTTCGTCTTATTCAAAAAATTTAAGTAATTATTAATTTTTTCCTATCATTTGATTTATTGTTAAATATACTTTTATGTATACATATAGTTTTACACATTTCAAAAAAAATTTGAATAAGACGAACGGTCAAACATGTTTTAAAAAATCAACGGCGTCAAATATTTAGGAAAGGAGGGAATACGTCACTATTAAGAAACAGGAATAAATTTATGAGTGACATAAATGAGTGCAGTTTGGAAGGAGGACATGCCATAGAACTGGACGCACAATATTTCATCAAATAGGTATTGGGCGTTTAGATTTTGTTTAAAGTCCAAAGCTGAATTCACCACAGAAAAAATATAAAGATCCCAATGTTAGTTCTGTCAAGGGTGTTCAATTCTTCGGTTCCACATTGCAGAAGCTTAGAGATAATAAAAGGTATATGGTTGTTAAGCTGACCTAGGGAAGATTTTACCTGAAAGTTCCATACAATGCACGGGTCGTTTATCTCAAAATGCTTGCCCATTGCCATATGTCTGAATATGAAAAAAAAAAAAAGAAGCATTGTGACAGTTGTTACCTCGTCAGCGTCCAGTCACCTTAGCCATAAACCAAAAAATCAGACAACTCCATTACATTAGGCATGGTCAGAGAGTGAGAATAGGCTGCGGTGGAAGCTTGATAGCAAGATAAAAATGTTAGTTCTACTAATATAATATGGATAGAGATCAATTGCATTTAAGACATTGTCAGTTCCAGCATCACTTTGAAATTTTGTGAAAATCCATGTCGCTGAACAATGACAATATAGACACATATCCACCGTTCAGGATATAGTAGGAGGCGTTCCGGCCACACTTCTCTAGCTCCTTCACTACGGCCGTCAGCATGAATTCTTGGTTGCATCATGTGCATGCCAATCTGGTGGAGCCCGGTGCCACCGAAGCAGCATCATGTGTATGTCAGGTTCGCCCATGGTCGTCATACATGAGTAACTTAGCAAAGTTCAGATCTACATTTTGAAATTCAGAAAAGCAATTCACACTAACTGCTCTACATCATTCTCACACAAGTAACCCCACAACTCCCAAGGAAAACAAGAAAGTACCTGACCTTTTAGCTTTAAGGCTATGTGAACTCAAGAACTCTGCTGCATCTGCTACGCCATGCCTCTTACTGAGCCTAGCATTGCTTCTGGACATCCTGCATATGGATTAACGATTTACTATACTTGAAATCAGCAATACAATGTTCAGAAGCATATGGACGGGATGACCTGGTTGGCTGGTTTCACATTTGGACATCAGGATACCATCACCATCCGTGTTTGCTCACACATTTGCACCAACGAAAGAAAATACCAAGCATACATCCATTGAAAAAAATACAAAGACCATGAATTACTGCAGAGGAGTGCTGACTGGAAAAAAAATCAAGCAAAAAATTAAAGATATATTTGAGAAATACGCATATGATATATTCCAATGAAGCAGCACACCTTCAAACTTCCAGATCTCCTCCACTTCAAACTTCCAGGTACACAGAGGTAGTACCTGCACTGGAACCTCTAGAGGTAGTACCACTCTCCTTTCTCAATGAACAAAGTTTGATAAACAAATAAAATTTCTGTTAAAATTATGTCCGGTGAATTTAACATTGGCCAAATAAATTTGTCCGTGTTGCACATGCTGACAGCTGCTGACCTTATGTTCCAAGAGGAATTTGAATAAAATCCAACGCAATTTGGTAAACATATAATAGAGTTAAACAATTATATATAACTAAACTTTAAAATACAGCTAGACAATTCGATGGCGGCAGAGGGGAGGTGCCAAGCAGCGAGGTCTTCCCCGATGATCGGCTGTGTGTGGCGGGGCGACTGATGAGCAGAGAGGAGGAGATATTAGGGATGGGGGAGAGATTAAAGGGGAAAGGGGTGGGGGAGGAGGGATCTGTACCTTTGGAGGGGTAGCACAGTTGGTGTGCTAGCGACGACGACCGAGCTCATTTTAGGCGTAGGGGGCGGCGACTTCCCTGGTGATAGGGCACCGCGGTTGAGGCGTGGCGGCGGAAGGCGAAGGAGGAGGTGTGGCAGCAGAAGGAGGAGGAGGCGCGGCGGCGGAAGGAGGAGGAGGTGGTGGGGCGGCTGGAAGGCGGAGGAGGAGACGCGGTGGCGGAAGGAGGAGGAGGAGGCGCGGCGACAGAAGGCGGAGGAGGAGGCACGACGGCAGAAGGCAAAGGAGGAGGCGCGGGCGGTCTGGGCGACGGTTTTTTTTTTTTGGCGATTTGGTGAAGAGAAGGATTGAGAAGCGCTAATCGCAGTGTTAATCCCACCAAACAACTCGTGCCTTTTATATTAGTCTAGATATAACACCATTTTAAGTGTTTATGATTTATTCTTTTTTTGGAAAAAAAAACAAGGAGTTCAAGTTTAAATATGAGTACTGTCTGGTGCCATTTATAATTGAATAGAGGGAATATTTTTCTGTGATGGCAAAGTCCAAGCAAACCCTAAAAATGAAAGAAGTAAGAGAAAACATCATTGCAATGTCTGTTGCTTGCACTTTTTTGCAAGTTGTGGGTGTGTCTGTTTCTGTCAAAATGTAGCCTGGTACCATGATGAAAATTAGGATATATACATGTGTGCAAGTGTGTTTGTGGTACAGGTGGACTTGATTAATCAAAAGCATTCAGGTCTGCTTAATTCCAGGTGATCACAAAACTTGGTGTGCGAAACTGGAACCATGGTAGTTTGGTTGATAACTTTCATTAATTTTGACAATTTGACCCTTTACAAAAACTAATTTTACAAATGAACCGCCGCCAAACTTATTTCAAAAGTGACCCTTTTTCTCAGCGCCAAGTCGTGTAGTGCTGAACTTAGACACCTCAGCGCCACATCACCTGGCGCTGAATACCGTGCCACCATGGAAGGCTGAGTCAGTGTGCCAACGCACACTCAGCACCGAGCTATTTGGCGCTGAGGTGTCTAAATTCAGCGTCACAGGATTTGGCGCTGAACAAAAAGGTTATTTTTGAAATAAGTTTTGATGATGGTTCATTTGTAAAATTAGTTTTTGCAAAGGGTCAAATTGTCAAAATTAATGGATAACTTTGTATGCCTACTATTGTCGCCCTAGAGGCCTAGAAGATTGACAGACAGGTACTCCTTGATTTCGTGTTGCAGCAGTCTTGAGCCAAGTCTAGTTCATCCCGGCAGTGAATTCCCCGTTGCCATCTATAATCCTTCTACGACACGAAAACAAGGGGAAAATATAATATAAATAAATCAAAGACTTGGCATACGAATATATCATGTCTATATAATAGATTGTTTGGTTAGCTCAATAGAAAAGAGCAGAACCTGAATCAAGATGTACATGGAAATCAGCAAGTTATTACAGATGGATCGGCAGTCTTTATTATACAAATGCTGTGTTTAGTTCACGCTAAAATTGGAAGTTTGGTTGAAATTGGAACGATGTGACGGAAAAGTTGGAAGTTTATGTGTGTAGGAAAGTTTTGATGTGATGGAAAAGTTGGAAGTTTGAAGAAATATTTTGGAACTAAACACAGCGAAAAGTAACAATAATAAAGAAGGAAAATAATAAATCACAAACTACCTTGTAGTGTGTCCAACTGTCATCTCATCACCTGTAGTCCTCCATATCTAATTGCAAAGAATGTGACGTGATGTTAGGATACACATGTATGTATTTAAGCTAGATTAAAGGTCAATGACATGTCAAGCAGGAAGGATTTGCACAGCGAAGGCACATTTCAATACCATATCACGCTCTGCCTAACATCTAGCCCAACAAAGGTAGGAGTATGAAACACTATGTATGACTTTACTGCAGAGTAATATTATAGCATCTATATGTGAATCAAAACTAGTAGCATATATTCATTGGCAGCATTTCTGAACAGTGAGGAGTCCGTTTCCAAATATAAGCATTTCTAGATTGTTTAGCAGGAATAAAGGTTTGAGAAATGCTTATATTGCATACAAAATATGAATCCTAGAATGCTTATATTTGGGAATGTAACGATTAGCTAGTAGGAATCTAGGCAGGGATCGGAATTTTAGATGAAAATAAAATGAGAACTGAGCAGGAAACTGTATATGCCTTGTTTCCTGGTAGACCATGCTACATGATTTCTTAGTTTCGTTTAACTTTTTGTATGTCTTTTTTTTCTCTAGAATTTGGATGTTTCCTTAGCATGAAAATAAGAAGTTCATTGACAAAGCAATTAGATTGACCAAAACCTGCCAGTATTTAGAATGGTGTCTCCAGGTTCTCTGGAGCAAGGAAGAGAATGGAGCTAATATGCATCAATACCAGAGTAAGTTTACTAACCATTTTTACTGGCTCTTGAATGATGTCGTAGTAACAATGGCTATAGTATCTTGTCTCCATCCAAAACTGACAAAATGAACGAACATGAATAAAACATAAATAAATATAATAGAACCAATAGGCAAATTGTGAGAAGTGCGCATTTCAATACCAGATCACGATCTTCCATCCATCTACAGAATGCTCCATCAACAACCTGAAACAAACCAATAAATGACAATATAAGGACTTGTTTCACAAGGAAAATCTACTAGTTCAAGGAGATGACTTATCCTACCACAGAGAAAGCATCATCCCAAGTGCTATCCTTCATATTTAACATTTCCCGATAATCCTGATATTTAACACATTGAATCAGGTTTCACTATTTTAGTTAACAGACAAACGATGGTGAGGCATGAGAAAAGATCAGACCATAATTCCACGAATAACATAATATTTTGGAAGGTGAATCCCAGCAAAGACATGCTCATTGAATTCGTCCACAAGTTCTGAAAAGTGTTCGTTTTCCTATAAATGCAAGCACACAAAAAATAAAACATAGAATTAGGTAAAGCATTTATTGATTTTGCATGCACTATAAAGCAAAAGTAAAACACTATTTAGTGCCATAAGTACCCATTCAATAGAATCATCATCCACACTGAAGAAACCTTCTGCCTCAAGCTCACATATCAAACTTTCAAGTCTATCTCTATGCTGAAAATTTATACAATCACAATTAGCTAGTAATGAGACCATATCCAAGCTTATATATTTGCCACTTCAGATAGGGTGCTATAGCATGTTAAATACATATAGTGATACAAATTACCTTCACTCCGTGATTAAGTAACATCAAGAATGTAGTAATTTGAGGGAAAAAAAACTTGAGATAATTTTAGTGAACATTAAGGACAAGCAAGACAGAACAGATAGATCACATACCTGTAAATTTATGACAGCACTTTTCATGTGTTTGCAATATAAGCATAATTGATCTTGCTTACTGAGAAGTTTAGCTCGTCGCTGTAAGAGGGCACTAACATGTAAGGGACAGTTCTCATGAAAATACTTTTGAAATAATTTGTGAAAAATGAAAATACGTCAAGAAAATAGTACCTCATATGACAATTTCAGGAGATCGTAATCCAGATCTGTAAACTGACTACGCAAAATATCATCATCAAGAATAATCTTAATGAAATCATCCTGAAAATCATTGGTACAACAAATAACAAACAGTTGAGCAGAATGTGTAGTCCTGTTTTTGCACGTACAGTAAGTTTATGATATTTCCCTACCTTTGAAGAACTAGTCCGACGGACAAAATCATCTAATGCACCAGAAGCCAAATGTATATCAAATGCTTCATGCAACCTAGTTTGTTCTTTTACCCTGTCATACTGGTGGAGAAACAACACTTTCAGGACAAGAACGGTGGCCAAACTGAAACATCAAGAGCAAGACTAAACTAGTGGCTCATTATTTCAACTTTACATACTATATTTTAATAAAGTATGTTCTTACAAAACCATGGTCATACCAAAAGTAAATTGAAGAATCAATCCAATGGTTTCGGCTAAAAAACTAACATGTTTGAATACTGAAACATGTTTGGGTCTTATATAACTGAAGAGGGTATGTTGTTTGTAAAATGGTAACAAGGGCATGCAACCACCAAATTTTGAAAAATTTCAATGCTTTGAAGTGGGGAGTTAACAAGAATATACAGTGAGGAGTCAAACCACTTGCAAATGCCTTAATGCTAACAAAGAATATCAAATATGTTCAGATATCTGCCATGTAAAGTGAGGAGTTAACCTAGCGTCTGGTTCAAATTCCATTTGAACCATTGTGTTTCATACAAGTTTAACAAAACAAGTCGTGAATGTTTTAGAGACATGATAAAGTTCTGTTTATTAGCTAGCAACCACAAAGATCAGTATGCAGCTATTACCAAATTAGGTAAAGGCAACAATATCTTACTTGCTAGCAGCTCCATTTTTTTTTAGCAATTGTACATATGACTCAGCTACAAAGTACAAACCTTATGTTGTGCATTGCTATCTAACAAATCCATACATGATTTGCTACTTGCTAAGTAAACAAGAACTGAACATGCTACTTGACCATATGGTGATTTATGGTGATTTTAAATTATTTGCTACAAACTATTTCATAGCAAATAACATCGAAGCTACTGCTATGATCGTCTTAATGCTTCTAGAGAAGCCAGCAACAACAACAATAAAATGCCTAGCAGCTAGGAGCTAGTAGCATAACAATATATGCAAGGGAGTGAATAGCATCTAGGCAGAATTGTTAATTTTGCGATGAAAAGCACAAATATGCTTGACATTAGTATTAATAGGATTGTATAGCATACCCCAGACCTTGCGTTCTTGACCTCAATGTAATTCTGTGCATAAGGTTGTAGATGCAGCAAAAAGTCGCTTGAGACAGGCTGGAAGGACTGCAGAGAAGAACACTAGTTTCAATGAGTACTCAAGAACATGATAACTCAAAGGTGAAGCATAGCTGCACGAAATGAATATATTCCTGAGAAGATGAAAACTGTAAAGTATACCTGAACATGATGAATATCTTCCCGAGAAGTTAATAGGCAAGCTATTTCACGTAGCATTTCCTTGTCATCCTGCATAATGAGCTCACATTTAATTTATTAATTTAAGGAATATAGAAAAAAACATGTAATTTTTTGTAAGTTACCTGACGTATCAGAGGATGGAACTGAGGCTCCCAGGAATCTAATATTCTACAGAAGAGCTGAAAGAGGAGTAATTTGGCCAATATTCAAAAGAGTGCATTTAAGCATTAGCATACATGTTAAAATCCTACCTCAAGTGTCTCCTGCCTACAAAATCCAGGAAGTGCAGACCAAACCTCTGAATCGTCCTCCACAAGTTCTTGCACGCTCTCATCATAACCAGAACACTGCACAACATCCAAATACATACACATCATGGTGTTTCTGCTAGGTGTAGTACCATCTTAACTTGCTAAGGGTACAGGACAATACACGTACCTTAATATAGGGTTTAAATGTGATAAGTTTACAAAAAAACTTGTATTTTTGTTCAGTCTCTCTCTTGCAATACACTGAAGTTACTTTACGCTTCAGAAAGAGCCAAAATAAATAATCAGAATGTGCACGCATATACTCACACACCCACCCACAGATATACTTGCAAGCACATCAATATACTTACTGACAGCATAGTTGACATGGCCCATGCATGAGAAATTGCACAACAATCAGTATCATGCTTGGACACAAATTTAATAGGAGAACTAAGATAACAATCCTGCAAACAGGTAAAAAGATTATTAAATTAAAAAAAGGTAAACAAACTATCATATTGTACTTCAATACTCTCTTTGTCAGTAACACATACAGAGCAAGTACTAAACATATCTCACAAAAATAAAAATGTATATATATTTACTTCAGACATATGCAACTTTCAGATTTTACATAATAAATTTCTAATGCGGAAGTGAACTATGATTAGTTTATTTTCAGACAGAGAAAACATGTGCATAAATTAAATTTCTAATGCGGAAGTGAACTATGATTAGTTTATTTTCAGACATAGAGAAAACATGTGCATAAATTAAATTTCTAATGCGCAAGTGAACTATGATTAGTTTATTTTCAAAATTAGTGCAATGCAGTGGCTTTTGTGCAACACAGTGGTTTGAACATTAAGAAAATGAATAATTCAAACCATTGGAGTATCTTATTTTCTGATGCTAGCATCTTTTATCACAGTACGCAGTGCCGTATATTGACAGGTGCAACCTGTGCATATGTTCAGGCCCCCCAAAAAAAATAGGACCCCCAAATCCACAATTAGTATTATTTATCTATGCCTAATTAGCAACAAATTACAGGGAAACAGATAAAAAAATAAGCCCCAAAAGAATACAAGGCCTAATCCCATCCCTAATGCTTATACTATTTGATACTTTGTTTTGTTATCAGCTACAACTTTGCCAACTCCTCTTTTTTTCCTAATAACAATTACTGATTTCTAAAGTGTGAAGTTCGTCCACTCTCCGTTGTTCGCAGAAGCAACATGGCAGCAACACTATAATCAATCAGCAATTTCATATAGTAGCAATTTCGTAATAAAAGAGTTATAAAATCTCGCAGCAAGCGTGCAAGATATCCTTTTTTAAATTTTAAGGCTCTAATTTGTATTTCGCACCGGGGCCTCGGAACCCTAGGGACGGCCCTGACAGTACGCATGTATGGATTAGTTCAAATGATAACCTGACTAAACAAACAAACAAAACATATATAACAATGATAAAACACATTAAATTCTGAATCATATATAGGATTGGGAGCTGTACAGATCTATCTAGGTTATGTGTGTGCTAAAGTTTGGAATTAGCAACTCTTAACTCTTACAAAAGATTTAAAGTAATGCGGGGCAACAAGTATCAGTTTCCCAACTCAAATACATGTGTACCAGGTCAAAAAAAATTACACATGTGCCACTGTGCCAACATTATAACCACAACTCACTTATGCATTTCTTTAATTGAAAGAACATTTTTTACGTATAAATAATTACCTCCATTGTATCACCAATTTCATCCACTTTGTGCAACATATCAACATAGGTATGAAGATAAGCTATAAATTCTTCTTCAATCTGATTGGAGAATATATATATATATATATATATATATTGGTCAAGTAAGGAAAAAATTCATTCAAAATCATGAGCATCAAGGTAGAAAACCAAAAATAGAAGAACAAGAAGAAATACCTCCCAGATCCACACCATGTCTTGAAGTTCATCAGAAGATGTGTATTTATAACGAGCCACTATCATTTGCTTTGACAGCCAATCTTCAAATATTTCTGCAGTGTTTCCATTGCGTTCACCTTCCTGTGCTGATCCCTAAAATAAAAAAAAATGCTTGAGTTGAGTAAATGAGTTCCTTGGCCTAAAAGAACAAATGTGCCAATATAAGCACTATAAATATTGCCCAATACTAATAATTATATTAATATGACATTGCTTACAAAAGGCATAGAACTCACATATATCAACCCAGATAACAAATAATGGCAGCTGCCAAAATGGAGGGAGTACAAGAATTGCATGCTAATGAATTACCTGGCTCTGCATACAATGGTATGCATCTTCACAAAGAAGATAAAGAGCATTGTTATCTGACTTCGGCTCGAGGGTTAAGCATTGTACAATCTTTGGAAGTATATCATCTTGAACAAAATATAGAAGTTCATCATTGTGCGTAGCAATAGCAAGTTGGATCAAACTATGACAAAATGGTGCAGCTATAATCCTTGCTTCACCATCCTTCCAATAGCCAAAGATATAATTGATTAACCTTAGTATTGAAGATCTAATGTTATCATGGCATAAAAGATACCTACATGTGAAATAATTCAAGTGTTATTTATATTCTAAAATACAATAAAATAACTGCACAAAATCTCAAAATATACTATTGTCGTTGTAAGCTGCAGTTGATCCATCTTACCCAACAAGCGAGCTTGAAGTAGATTCCAAATCTGCTGTGCTGACAATAGATCCATTTTGTTCTGGCAGTGCCATTGCAGCAAGCAAATATGATGCTTCACGAGTCAACTCAGAAAGAAGTCCCTTTCCCGCTTTCTCAACCATTTCTTTTGAGAAAGATTCACAGAATTTATCAGGAACCGACACTATATCCTTATACAGAAGACTGCACCATGAACTGTATAGTGTCTCTTCACAGTAGTGAAACACTGGTGGTAGAAGCATATCTATCCACTCCACCCAAAGATCAGGAGGACAACTTTTTACCAATGGAACAATTGTATATTTAATCAGCATGGTCAAATGACGAAAGTCCATTGATTCTACATCTTTTAGTAAGGTGCCACAAACAGAAAAGCTATCCAAAAGTTTACAAAATGCTCCCTCAAGACTCGCACACATACCTATAACATTGTACCTACAAAGTAAAATAAACATTTATGTGAACACAAAATTACAAAAAAAACATAACGTAGACAATCAAAGTATTTCTTTACTTTGAACTTTCAAAGTTTTCCTCGAACCAACATTATAACACAATGTTCAAATGAAGCTATAACTTACAAAATGCATTGGAAAGGGATATTACGCCTTACCACCACATCTTGATATCCTTAAATTATTGTGTGTTAGAATATGAGATGAAGCTTCACATTATATTTCGTGAATACATTGCTAAGGTACTATGGATCGGACTAGAGTTTTAAGTGGAGGAATGGTGCTAACTAAAGCAGGAAGGGTGCAACAGTCTTATGATATCTATACTATCTATATACTTATGCTCACTAACTCCTAAAGCTTAACATGCAAGTGTGCCACATCATCACCCACTAACAATTATTATCTAGAGTATTTTAAAATCATGCAAACATGACGCCATTTACAATTTTGTTGTATTTTTAGAACTCAATATGCAAGCAATGTCAAATCATTATCTCCATATCATTTTCACATTCTTTAAACATATACATCTATCATTTCTATAATGTATAACATGCATTCATCCACATATCCCAAAACAAAGCGCAAGATAGTTTCTTTAATTAGGGTTGTTCTAGAGGTCTTTGGAGATGCTTTTGGAGTCAAACAAATATCTCTAAGAGCTCAATTACACCTATGACCTATCCAATGTTAGGAGGAGGATTTAGCTTCCCATCTCATCCCTGAATATCTCTATCCAAAAGCCTACCAAGGCCGAGCTCCTCCCCTTGATTGATAAGATGGTTGATCATCTTCTAGGATGGGAAGCTTCTCTCATCAAGTTGGCCGCCACATCATGGTTCGTGTAGTGCTCACAGGACCTCCTTAAATGGGCCATCAAATATATTGATAAGAGGAGGGTCTTCTTATGGAAGAGATAGGAGAAAACAAGTGAGGATTATTGTTTGGTCACTTGGCAGAAGGTTTGTCGTCCACTTCAGTATTGCATCTATGGGACTTGATGGGTGATATTGAGTTACAAGAAGAAGAGCAAGATTAGCACACCTGGAAACTTATTGGAACAAGCACATATACAAGTCTGCTTACGAGGCATTTTTTTATGGAATCTATAAGGTTTGCACCATGGCGTTGTATTTGGAAGACATGGTTGCCACTACGGGGCAATTTTTTTCTTTGATTGGCTATTCCTAATAGGTGCCAAGCAAGGACTTCCTAACCCGGCCTCGTGCCTCCTATGTGGTCAGACTGACGAGAAAATTAAGCTCATCCTAATCTCTTGTGTGTTTGCCCGGGGCAGGGTTGGCACACCATTCTCAATGGCCTCGGCTTGGATTTTTGGGCTCCGCGGCTACACCGTTTTCCTGGTTGGTGGTCTGCCACAGTTAAGAAGGTACCTAGGGATCTCAAGAAGGGCAAGAATTCTCCAATCACGCTTGTTGCATGGGAATTGTGGAAGCACAGATGTGACTGTTTTCAATGATGTTGCTCCCTCAGTAAACTCGGTGGTTCAGGAAAGGAGCTTAGTGGTGTATGGCTGCAGCTAAAGGACTCATAACCTGCTCCAATGGTCGTTTGCATCGGATGATAGGAATCCTGAGAATGATGATGACTATGGTCGTGATTGCAGCTTTTCTTGTCTTGTAATAGAAAAGAAGTGTAGGGGTGTTGTGTGTGGTGGGTGTGTGTGTTTTGCATAGCATTGTCCCTGTCTGCTGCTTTGTTTTCTTTGCTCCTACTTATAATGAAATGGCATGCAGTTCTCCCGCATGTTGTCCAAGAAAGAAAAACATACCCAGTTTGGCGGATTTTTTCTAGCCACTCCCTTATCTCATCTACCAGCAACTCTTCCTCATTCATGTCCTGAATTTCAGTAGTTTCTTCAACAATACCACATAGCTTCTCAGAACATATAATACATTTAGCTCCTTCAAGTTCTTCTGATATGTTAGAAGCAACTTCATCCGTCCAGAGTGAATGCACATACTGAAGAAGCTGAAAGAAACAATTTTGTAAATGATTATTTCTTCTAGTATATCTTTAGGATCTCAATTTGTGAAAAGATATTTAGGTTATTTTTTTTACCTCCAAGAGTAGGGGAAATAACAGTGGAATAAGAGTAGTCAAAGTTGAATAGTTTAATTTTCTCTCATGATTGATTCCATCATAATTTTCTGCTGTGCACATGGTGAGCTCATTCTCAAAAAAAGCAACAACATTGTACACAGACGTCCTGAACTGAGCATTGTTAAAAAAATCCAATAGATTTGTCTCCCATTCAGGTTGGCTCCAGATTTCTGACAAACGGAGAAGTATACGTGAAAGCAATTTTGTATCTTTTTTAATCCTGTGACACAACAACATAAAGTTCAGCAAACTTAAAACCATTTATTGAAAGGAAAAAAAATAATATCAATGTCAAGTACCATGGACAAGTCACGACAAAAGTGAAAGCTCCATAGAGAAAGTTATTCTCTTCAACGAGATGAAGACCCATTCCTTCACCAATACCCTAAACAAGAATTATACAGATGGAAGTCATATATGGATAATATTGTCAATGTGAAAGTTAAAATATATTTGCCAGATTAAAGACTAAAAAAGGAGTAAATAGCATCACATGTTCTAAAGATTGGACATACGTTTCCATCTCAAGAAAGAGCATACATGTGGTAATAAAGAAAGCATAAGCATCATCAATATGTTAAATTTCACTGTGGTATAGATAGCTACCAAAAGAAGGTTTTCTAGGCCATGACGCGGAATCTCAGAAATTTGTTCCTCGCTGACCATCTCGAGCAATGTCCTCAACAAAGGGTTCATATTCCCTACATCCTCCATCTGTGGCAATTGAAAGCATTTATGTTATTTAATATTCATTATTTCATTATACTAAATTTGATGATATACCACCAAAAGAAGTAGAGAACTTTGTCATTAAGGAAAAGAAAAAAAAACATTATCACAAGCCAGCAATTCACTAAAATCACACAATATGACCCCATCCATAATTTTTACCACCGTTTTTTCTCATCTAAGCACATGCCCCCCCCCCCCCCCCCAACACACACACACAGACACAAAACAATCCAATTCCAAATGTAAGCACATATTGTCCGGAATTATGTCTCCAATCAAATTAGCAGGCACAAAGCAAATGATCCATTAGCATATGTATCACTAGTATTACAATCACAATACCCTGTTACTTTAACCCTTCTTTGCTGATGTGGCTTCTATGTAAAACAAATAAAGTTACATAGATTATGATCTTGGCGATCAAGCAAATGTATTTGGATTTAAACTTACCACTGCAGTTCCAATTTCCGAAACGAAAACAACATCTAAGTCAACCAATATACTTTTTGCTAGATTAGGGCAGAGAAAAGACAGAATGCTAAAGACTGATGGCATGATGGCAGGGTGGCCTGTCTTGTAATGGTTGATCTAACCAATTGCAAATGGTAATAGCTTTTTCTTTTTCGACATCAAACAGTCAATTAGGCCTAATCAAGTAGGTATGAGCAAGTGATTTGTCGTAATGATCAGCCGCCCATTATTGGACATCAAGTCCAGTGAAACGCGGCTGCACACACACGTGAGCTTCTTGATTTGAAAGAGAAATCCAGCAATTACGTGGTCACAATTAGAACTAGAGGGTTGCGTGTGGTTAGCTGGGAAAAATTCAGACAAATTATAATCTTATAAGTACAAGATGAGGATGCAGAGAAGAGAGAGAAGTAATGACAAACCGTCACCAGCTCTCTCCGTGAATTGTCCTGAGTTGATCGGTTGCCGCAGCTGTCCTCAATGTCTTGCATCCTGGAGCTTGGCTCCGTCGACGAATCGTCGTCGGTGGCTTCTGCTTCGAGTACGCTGAACCGATTGTGCCTCGCGGGGTCGCCAAGAAGAGCCTGTCGAAACTTGTAGGTTCCAAGGGTGCCACGAAACCGGGGATGCTTCTTGCGGCGAGGCATGATGACCGCCGCCTGGGGTTTTAAAAGCTTTTTACGGAGAGGAGGGGAAGGGGGGATAGGATAGGATACCGCTCCCGCCACGACTGGCGGCGAGGCCGGGCCGCGTCCGGGTTTCCCTTCCCTCCCTCTCTCTCTCTCTCTCTCTCTCTCTCTCTCTCTCTCTCTCTCTCTCTCTCTCTCTCACGCCGGAGCTTCAAGGCCTCCTCCGGCACCGAGATACACCGCGCCAGAACACCCACGGCACGGACTCCTCTTGTGGGTCGGCGGTCGATCGGGGGAAAGGAGCCGGAGGAGCGGAGGGGGCCGGGGCTCCGATGGGAAGCGTGGGCGCGGCCGCGGCACGAACCGGAGTGCGGTGGCGCGGCGTCTTACGCACGTCGCCGTCGACGGAGACGAAGACGGGAAGGGGAAAGAAGAGGGATCCCTCTCACGGGGAGAGGGGGAGGTATTTGGGCCAATGGGCTTATGGGCCACCGAGCCGAACGAGCAGTTCCCTGATGGAAACCAAGTTCAATCTACGTTCCTCAAATATCCAATCTAAATGGCAAATTTTGTTAAAGGATGCTCCGAAAAATTATGGGACATCGGAAAGAGGTGAATTTTCCGGAGACACTCTGAAAGTGTGGTAATTTACTGCAGAACATTAAACACATTAAAATATAATATCCACCCCATTGATGAGAGAGATAACATAAAATGACAGTTTTACCCTTATCTTCTTCTCTCTTCTCTCTGGTTTCTCTCAATGCTCCTCTCACGCATCCCCCTACTGCGACGGTACAAGAACCCATGGGACGTGCATATCACCCACGCCTACGCGCTCGCGCTCACACGCGATGCGGTGTTGATGCACACGTCCCATGGTTTCCTTTACAATCACAGCAGGGGGCACAAGTGAGAGGAGCGTCGGAAGAAGACCGGAAAAAGGAGAAGAAGATATGGGTAAAAATGTTATTTTATATGGTTTCTCTCTCATCCTTAGATGGATATTATATTTTAGTGTGTCCAGTGCCCTACAATAAATTACCACATTTTTAGAGTGTCCTTAGGCAAAGTTATGTTTTTTAGGTGTCCTGCACATTTGCCAGTAATATCGTGGTGAAACTACAGTAAACCCTTTCGTGAGCTCTTGCCCTATTCTATTATATAGGGTAAGACTATTCTATACCCCCTCCCGCATGCCCCATCCCGCATGTTTTTTTTCCCACATATTTTATTTGGGAAATTTTATTTCCCACAATTACTTCACTAATAAATTAGTTAAACTTTAGTATAAATTCTATAAATAATTTATAAATCACTAAAACAAAAATCAGGGTGTCATAGTTCATCCCGTTCTCGATTTGGATTATAATGATACATACGTATGTCCATGTCCCCCACAAGAACCATGCATCATTTAAATTTCTGTTGTCATTGCTCATCAAACTAGAGATCAATTCAATCAAAATGACTAACGAAAACACGGTCTCGAGATTTGTACAACTACGCCACAACATTACATGCAACTCCAATTATTCGTCCAGGCATTTCCGATTCAGCATATGTCTGTCGACTGCGTGCTCCCGTCCGTGGTGGTCTCATGACCAAAATGAGCCAATCCCAACGTCCTAACTATGGCCACTCCAAAACCAAATACCAAATAGTACGGAGACGTTAGACCTACTATATATATATATATAGTCGACTATATATATATATAGTCGGATCAGTCTAGAATTTCACTTAATTTTTATGGACTTTTTTTTCAACATAGGGCCTGTTTGGCACAGCTCTAGCTCCAGCTCCATCCCTTCTGGAGCTGGAGCTCAGCCAAACAGTTTCAGCTCCACCAAAACTGGGAGTGGAGTTGGGTGGAGCTCTCTCACAAAATGTACTGGAGTTGTGGAGCTAGGTTTAGGCAGCTCCACAACTCCACTCCAGACTCAACTCCTGGAGTTATATTTAGGAGTTAGAGCTCTACACCCGGGGTATAAAATAACTATTCTATACCCCCTTCCCCTCTTCCTCCCGATTCCTATTTTTTGAGAGAGAAAAAAATAAAGGAAATTTTGCATTCAATGAGAATAGAACTCAAGACCTTCAACTCAAATTACCATATGGCACTAACCAATAGGCTATTTCTCAGTTGTGATAGAGTTTTCTTAGTAAAATTTTATCTTCTCATACGTGCTAAATCCTGTAATATTTGGCACAAAACATGTAGTAATGGTCCTAGGATGGTTGTTAGCATACACTTCAAACCATCTTACTGCACTATCCCAAATCTTTTATTACACAGATATAGTAATATTACCATCAGAATTATAGATTCCTATTGTAACATGATATGCCATCATTTAATTTTCATGAGCAGTGGTCACCACCACGCTATTGATTATTGTTTGTAGAACTAACAATTTCTAAACTTTAGTATTTACTCCCGCTCGTTACTGCTTTGTACTATATGTTACTGCAACCCCGTAGTAACATTGTGAAATAAATATAGTAATAATGTAACTAGTGTGTAGTAACAAAATAGATATAATCCTGGTCTCTCTCTCCCTCTCATGATCCCTCCACTTTCTCCTCTCCTTATCTCTCTCTACCCAAAAACTTGGCCTTCCTCTCTCTTTTCAAGAAAATCGGTCTCCTTCCTCCATCTATGTACCCCCACCCTTTTCATAGTAACGCCATCACGAAATATAGTAGCACGTCCGGTTACTACAAAAATATATAGGTTGTTATTACATTCAAGTGACTAGTATTACTGAGTTAAAGCCTCACATGCTAACCATATACTTGTTACTGCACAAAAGTAGAAGTGTTACTACATGGTAGGTGCATGTTACCACTTTAAAGTAGCTATGTTACTGCACGATAATTGTAGTTTTACTGTCATTTTTACGAGATGAAGATTAAATAGGTGGGCTATAGGTAATGTCTGTAGGTCACTTTGAGCGAGGTCTGATTGATATAGGAGTGTTTTGAATAATTTTATACATTTGGTAAAACCATGTTACTACATGTATATGCCCTTGTTACTGCAAGTTACACATTCTGTTACTGCATGTGGAGGGTTAAAGTTCAAAGTTCCAATCTTTGAAAAGCAATATCTCACAAGATAAATGTTATTTTTTAAAATCGTTCCCACCATGATGCTATAGTGTTACTGCATGTAGAGGGTTAAACTTCAAAATGCATCTACGTACCCCTCTCTTCAAGAAACCGTTCTTCCTCCCTCTTCTCAAGAAAAAGGGTCTCCTCCCACCAATATAGTGCTACTGCATGTGTAAGATGTGACAATAATATTATGGTGAATTACAGTAAATCAATAATTGAAACAAAAATTTATAGGTTAAAAGTCTCAGATGCTGTTACTGCACAAAAGTAAAAGTGTTACTGCATGGAAGGTACACGTTACCACGTGTTATGCAGTAACACTACCCAAAAAATACAGTAAAATGCAGTGTAGTAACATCGTGATGTGATTATAGTAACGTACAACAGACAAGTAGTAACAAATAATAGTATAGTATTACTACTTGTGGAGAGACAAATTGCAAAAAAGTCAAGCTTTAAATAACAATATCTCCCAAGTGATGTAAGTTTTTTTAAAACCGTTTGCACCATGATGCTAGAAAAAAAGAGCTTATCAAAAGTAGATCCGTCATAACTATATTTCAACTATATTTTAACACTGTTACTGCACGTAAGACACAACGTTACTGCACAGTGGTCGTCGTGTTACTGCACCGTCCTAGGACGAGAGCTGAGAAGAGGTGGGTGGTGGGGGAGTTATTAGGCGGGTTTGACCGGTGGGAGGGGCCTTTGACCGAGGTGGGAGGTGGTTCTTGGGCCTTGGTAAGGAGGGGGAAGTGGGTGTAACCCTTGGGAAGGAGGGGGGTAACCCGGGTGTAGAATAGTTTCTCTCTCTCTCTCTCTCTCTATATATATATATATATATATATATACACGGTGGCGCTACACAGCGCCACCCACAGACGTTGTGCGCCACGAAACAAAATGGCGCCAGACACAAACGAGGAGAGGTCAGCCCACCACCGACAAAATCCCACCAACAAGGCATCCAACCCACCCGCGGAGTTAAAATTTAACTTAGATACAGTTGGGTGGTGGGGTAAAACCAGCGAAGTTAAATTTTAACTTATATACAGTTAGGTGGTGGGTGCGATGACGTCGTTGAGGAGTTAATATTATACATGGTTTCAATTGATATGAGTTAAAGTTTAACTTACGTACAATTGGGTGGTGGGATGCGATGACATGGTTTTGGAGTTAAAAAATTACTTGTTGTTGTTCAATTCTAGATGATATGTGATTAAGTCTGGTCGCTGCTGAGTTAAAAATTATCTCGCGATACAAAACTACAGGACATCGTTGTAGAGTTAATTCAGTTTGTATGAGTTAAATTTTAACTTGTGTACAACGAGATTTTAACTCAACAAATACATCCTCACAATCTATAAGCGTAAGTTAAATTTTTGTCGGCACTTGCTCCGGACATCAACGGCGGAGCGCCATGGAGGTGTTTGCCGCTGCTCCTCCATGTCCTTCGGTGTTCGAACTCGCCGCCGCGGAGGTCGCCGCCGTGTGCGTGGGGCGTGGAGCGGCGGCCCGATCCGCCGCCGCCTCGGTTGTCACCCGTAGTCGCCCCGTCACGGGATCCGCCGTCGAGCCGCCTGCATCCACGCCTGACACGCACCACCGCAGCCGGATCCGTGTACGTGGGGTGCGGATCGGCGGCCGGATGTGCCGCCCCCTCGCCTCGCCATGCCATGTTGGATCCGCCGACGCCGCGCCTTCTCGTGCAGGATTATCCCCGGATCCGTCATCGCGCCAGATACGCCCTACCATGGCCGGATCCTCGCGCGTGGGGCGCAGATCGGCGGCCGGGTGCGCCGCCTCGTCGCCTCCTACACGCCGTCAACCGTCACCTCCACGCCTGCAGCCGTGCCGTACCGGATCCGCCGACGTCGCGCCCGCCGCCGCTCGGCAGTGGAGGTGGCGCTCGACGTCGCGCCGCCAGTCGTGCCGTGCCGGATCCGCCCAATGCCGGCACCGCCAGCCGCCACGCCCGCTCGCCGCTCTCATCTTCGAAAAAATAGGATCTGGATATGTGATTGGTTACGGGGTGGATGTACAACACTGGTATATATATACACTAAAAGTTGAGTAACACCAAGTTAAAATTTAACTTGGATTATGGGCGTGGGGGAGGGCATAGGTGTGGGGTGTCGTGAGTTAAATTTTAACTCAAATATGTGGTGGGTGGGGGAAGATGGGACAGAGTGGTGGTGCGGCTGTGTTAGGCGCCATGTAATATGTGGCGCCTGTAACGCCATATAGTAGTTCTACACACACACACATATATATATATATATATATATATATATATTCTTTATATAAAGAAGATAGTAAAATTTGTATTTTTGATTAATTATATAATATAAATATTTTTTAACTTTTCCTCAATTTTCTTCGTGTTGCAACGCTGGGACACTTTTAGTCTAAATCTTTACCTACTATAAAACTAGAAAAAATGCCCGTGCGTTATAACGGGTGAAGTCTATATTAATCCCATTATTGTTATATGATTTAGTGAAGATAAAATTCATTACGGGAGTTCGCTTGGATATATATATTTTTAGAAAATCATAAGTTGCAGTTAGGAGTCCGATCGTCTCAAGTTAGCATGCGAGTTTGTTTTTTTAAATAGATTTCTTATATGTTTTCTTTTGTATTAATAAAAATGAACGATCTTAAAAACAGACTCAAATACGGATATGTATTTTCAAAAGCAAACAAACTTAAAAACCAACTTATACACGGATGACGTACCAAAATACCGATAAAAACATCTTCAATTTTTATAAAAACTAGAAAAAAATACCCATGCGTTGCAACGAGTGAAAGCCATTTTAGTCTTACTATTATTCTATACGGTTGAGTTCGAGTGAAAATCATTGTGGAAAATCGTTTGGATTTTTTTTTTGTAAAATAATGAGTTGTAATTAAGAGTTCGATTCTCATCTCAAGATAGCATGTGAGTTTTTTAAAATTGATTTCTTATACGACTCCTTTTGTATTTCCAAAAGTGTCCCAAGTTAGCTGAGCGAGGTTTTTTTAAAGAGATTTCTTATAAGATATTTTTTTATTTCCAAAAGCGAACGAACTTAAAAATAAACTCAAACACGTATTTATATTTCAAAAGTAAACTCGTATTTTCATCCGTCAATCCGAGTTCGTCCGCGTCACGTTCCATCGTCACATAATTTTTTGTACGTAGCCGCCGACGTCTGATACGGGCATTCGGGTCTACCTCAACACCGGCCCGTGTCAAGCCGCATCCCATCTCTGCATGCGTGCATGGTGCCTTGCCCGACTCGGGTCTCCACAGATACATAGGTGTACGCAGATATATATTATGCCTCCACGTCTCCAGCCAGATCAAGTTGGCACGACAAACTTCATCTCTTCCTCAACTCTGACATGCACATAGTCACATAGAAATAAGTTCTCACCAATGAAACCAAAGCGACCATTAGACTGACAAGCACACCATTAAAGCATGTAAGCAACTTCAGAAATCAGAAAGAGCATATAACAAGTTACCAACTGATTTTTTTACTATTTGGTCCTTCTTAAAAACTTATTTCAAAAATAGACCCCTAAAAAAATTTATCCTAGAAATAGTCCTCTTTGAAGCGCCAAAAATATTTCAATCAAATCATCAAACAATGAAAAACATTACTCACAACATCAACACTCTACTCTTCAAACATCGAAGAAACCACATAGTACATCATGTGTAACATCGAATAAAACAAGGATGAAACACTTGAATAAAATAGAGTGCAACAAACATATACGATAGACTGCAACAACCCTATCGTCTGTTATTTTCTTCCACTTAGGTGATTGGATCTATCTTATTCCTCTGCTCCGGTGACATTAAACTCATCAAAAATCACTCCATCTCTTCCTAGCCCGTACTTCTATCCTCTTCGCGTTGCCTTGCCGCCACCGATGATAGCTCCACCATCTCTTCTTGGCACTTCTGCCATGGTCGCCGGTGGCTAGGTCTGGCGCCTCCTTCCTCTCCTTGTCCCCTTGCCGCAGCTGCTACCACCGTGGCATTTGGCGACGATGGCGGAGGCTCCGCCATCTCTTCTCGTCGTTGCTGCCATAGTTGTCGATGGCTATGGGTAGAAAGTATTAGTGTAGAAGGTGGTATCAAAGTGTAGTAAGACATATGGATCAGATGGTAAATAAATCAAAGCGCGCATTTTAGATGGTAAATAATCAAAATTCTCATTGGGGTGGGGTGGGTGCATACGGGAGGAATGCGGTGGGGGGAGGTGGAGGCAATTTTAACCGTTCGGTTTGACATATATGAGTGGAGGATATTGGATTTGATAAATGAGTACTGTGTTCGTGAAACTATATGGTAATAAATAGACAGTAGTAGAATAGTAGGTGGATAGATTATTAAGAAATTATGAGTGAGATTAAAACGATATAAAGAAATTATGATTCCATCACATGCGAAATTCGGGCCGTTGGATTGAACCCTACGGTGCAGATCTGACCGGGCACTTGTGATGAGTACTTTTGATCACACGGCCCCACCTCACGCTGCCCGCCGCCTCCCCCACCCGCCCCCGACGACCGCCGGCGTCGCCTCCGACTCCGGCAAGGCCCACCAGAACACGCGCCGCCGCGGCCAGCCCTCCCCTCCGCCGCTGTATTCCTCCTCCTCCCACCCCGTCCGCCGCCATCAACACCTCGCCTCCGCGCCGCCTTCTTCCCCTCCGTCGAGGCGTCAGCGGCGGCTAACGTCGTCGGATCCCCGCCTCCTCACCTCCCCGTAACGCATCCCGCGCCGCCTCGCCGCGCCCTTTCTCCGTCACCTGCCACCGCCCCGCCCCCCCTCTTCCCCCTCCTGCCTCCGAGCACCCCAACCCCTAACCCTAACTTGTCGTCACCGTCGCCGGAGTCCACCCGAGATCGGTAGAGCCCTGCCCGGACGCGGAGAAGAAGCTGCCTGGTCCGCGATCGGATCGTGAAGCAGATCGACAGGTCAGAAACTCGCAAGTTTCTTCCCTTCAGTTTCATTTGAATTGCGTTCAGGGAATCGTATTCGTATGTATGGATCGCCTTTGTAGTTTCTACTCGAGAACTTGTCTCCTGTCTGTGCTTAATTAACTAGCCAACAAAAGTTTCAGTTTAAGCTGAGACTGCATACCATGCATGGTTTAGCCTTAGGCTGTTGACTTGGTCATGATCAATTACTTAAGTAATTAGTACAGTGTTTTCTAGTTGAATGTTTCCTGGAAACCTACTAGCTTGCATAAGGTAATTTTATTCTCTAGTTGAAATGTTTTACTGTTGTCTTAAAAAATGAATGCTACTCTGTTGTATGAAGGAGGCGCCACCAGAAACAAGCAAAAAACAAAAGCCTCCTTACCAGCTCCCTCCTCATGGTACCATTTCATAACTAGATTATCGCCGAATTCGTTTCAAATTGTACAATTTTCCCTCTCTTTAGCTTTCACTTAAGCTTTATTGTAATGTGCACTCCCTGTTCAAGGTAAATTACTTGTGGTTACTCTGTCTAAAGCTAGATACCATTATAGGTTGATATAGGCAACTGACGATAAATCTATCCATCTTGAGATTCAAAAGGATACATGCCTGCCTGCCTCTGCCCATGCGTGAATTAAAAATCTGCACAAGTGCTGCTGTATCAACAAGCTAGCAGCTAGTCGAGCATGCGTGTGGAACACAACATCGATCTTAAATCTACTTATCTCCTTCCTTGGTAGCTATTTACATACTTATCCAACAAACTAACCACCTACTCATTTCAGATTCCTTTCAGGACATTAATTTGTACCAATTGTAAATGTGGGCAAGCTGTTAGATTTGCCTCATGTTTCAAGTGTTTTGATTCAGACGAATTGTTAGATGTTGGGTCTCATTGGCTCTATTAGTTAATTGCACTATAATGCATACTCCATCATTTACAACCAGTATGCATCTCGCTAACTTTTGGTCACTAACACCATAACAATTCACTAATTGTGCACTATTTTTGTGTGTTAGTTTCTCATTGCTTTTGATTAATGGGGTGGGCATTGCTGAAATACCCACTCCCAACTTAGCTACCTAAGCTTGTGGTATAATAATATTGTTGTGATAAAACATTTTTATGCTCTCTTTGTTGTATTCTTGTTGTGCAACTTGAAACAGCAGATGGATTCGATTTATGCTATGTGCTCTCCATAATTAATTTTCTTTCCTACTGATATATGTGTTGTCACTTGTGTTCTGTTTGGTTCACATTTGTATGCTGGTTTGGGCCCACATAGTATAAACATTTTGTGTGGTCGGATTAGTCTTACATGGAGTGCTCAGATAGGTTTGGGCCAGCTTTTAAGGCTTTATGTTCCAAGGGTCCACTCCTTTAGAAAAAGTTGGGTAAACACAATTGCTATGAAACCTAACTCTTGGTTTTAATCAATTCAATGCAGAGTTACTGATGGCTCCAAAAAGGAAAGTGAATGAGTCAATTGTGGCTAATCTACCTATTCCTGATCCATCGTTAGTTCTTTCTCACCCTTTACTAGTTCTTTCTTACTTAAGTTCATGCTATGAAAATTATCTTACAAAAGAAATGTTTTGTTTTTCAGAATGCCAATTAAAATCCCTGGAGACTCTAAGGTGAATTTCAACTTTTATATTATTTGATGCAAATAAAACAATAAGACAAATAGGAAATACCTTATCCTATTACGGTTTTAATTTGTGCAGATTGAAATTCAAAACCGAAGCAGAAACTTGACAGTTTATGCCAGCAAAGTTGTTGATAGTGTGGCATATAATGCTATGTTGTCATATCCGGAAGGTCAACAAGAGAAATGTGTAGCAGTGTGTAGAAGATTGGAACATGCTCATGCACTTTTTGACATCCTTGCAAGTTGCTCCCACAGCAACATCATTGAACCTATTGGAATTTGGGAAGAAAAGGGGACGAAGCTGGCATATATTGTTTTTCCATGCTTTGATGGACCACTGAGTTTAATTCCAACAGAAGAAATATTTGATGTGGAGGATGCCACGAATGACAAATCTTATACATTTGGCTTCACTGACCAAGGATGCAAAATTTTTGTGTAAGTGTCAGTTTAAATGTTACATTCTTCTTAGAGGCTTGAGATCAACAAGTTCATAGACTAGAAATTACTGTATTGATTGAAAATAACTAAAAGTTCTGGAATTAATAGAGAGGAAAAAAACATCTCAACTGTTCACATAATGAAGATATGTCTAATTATGGTTGGGATTCTGTAGAAACACAAATGGATTTAGGCAAAAAGTAGTCTTTGCATAGCAGGAAAATGCATTCATGTTTGATTTAATTAGCTTGATCTATAGTTTTAACCATACAGGACTATCCTGATACATGCAAGCATGTTACTTTTCGAATTTTCTTGTTGCCCATTCGACAAAAGTAGATTAATTTATATAGATCAAAATAATAACAAACATGTCGAGACAGTGCAGATGCATGGGTTAAGCTTGTAAGCATGTATGTGTTACACAGATGCAGAATTAATATTTGGGTTATTGCCTTTATTTTATAGCATTAGATGATACTTTTACCTTTTTCGCAGAGAAATGTTTATGGCCGTCAAATATGTCAATGACCTATATGATGATGAACAAATACCTTTGAAGGCATTGAATTTTGATGAAAGTAAAATATTTTACCAGTTGAACGCTCAGCGGGACTACCGTGTCCTGTTAACTGACTTCAAGTTGGAGATTTCACCAACCGGTAATGCGAGAAATAACCGGAAAGGCAAGGGTAAAGCTTCTAGCACAGGTATATCCACAGACATGTTGAACACATGCGAATCAGGATTAATCTAAAATATTTTGTTAATTGTTTCCCCTTTTGTTTGGTTTTGATGTTTGTACTCTTTTTAATCAATGAAATGAATCAGCTTTGCTTCTGTTTATCAAAAAGAAATTCTGAAATATTTTGGTCTCAAATCCAGGGATCCTTTATACAAGTTATAGAAATGGGGTTTTACATTAGAAATGTCAGAAAACATGGTGTTTCATGAAATTTATGTCTCTTATTGAGGAGAGAATTTGTATAACATAGTAGTTTTGTCAATATACTTAAGTCACCTAACTTGTGAGTAATCTCTCTTTTCTTAGCAGTACCAACTGTTGATGAGCTAAAGGTTGCAAATTGGAATGGTTTGGGGCAGCTTCTTCAAAAGCTCCATAAAAACCTTGGACTTCACGCAGAACTAAACCATTTTGCTGAACTTCTTGGGAAAAAAACAGTAAAGTAAGTAACACTTCCTTACAAAAATAATTTTAGGTATTCTTTTAGCATTGCACCCAAGTTGATACAAAATAATGGTGTACAGGTATGAAGATCTGGTGTGGGAAGCTGGATTATGGGAACATAACAGCAAAGTGCAATTTATCAGGGAGATATATTGGCACTATAACAACGATGAGGCAAAAATATCCCAGCTTAAGCTTAGAGCATCTCTTGGTCTCAAAAGCTGCATTGACAAGTTGGAGGTGAACAAATCAAGAGAGCCAAACAAAGAAATCAATGACAAAAGCTTGTATAACTCCTTATTCTTCCTCAGAGTTTACATGGTTGCACACCGAGACGATTTAATCAAAGGATACAGTGGAGCAAAGGTGCGTTAGCTGTTTTTGCAATTTTGTTAATTTTTTTCAATTAATTTGGATCGGTATGAATTTATGCATGAAGGACTTAAAATTGTTTCTATGTAAACTTAGAATACTTATATGTGGACATGTTGTTTGGCACCCTTTACTGCAAAGAATTTATATTACATTCAGATCGACCTGTTTCGTCATCGCTTTCTACATTTCTCATTTTGTTAATTTCTCCGTATACATTTTAGCTGACGGGTGGGCTCTTTGGCTCCACACTCCTTTTTTACCTTCACAAAAAAGTAGTGAGTTGGTGATGTGGTTGGTGGTAGTCCGGTAGATTGGTCACTCACCCCCACCACTTGCTTATTTTAAAGTAGTTTAGATTTTTCTTAATCTTCCCATGTACTGTTTCATACAGGAAACAGTGGAGGACAGGAAAGCCGTTGTGAGGCTGCTGATGAAAGAGTGCCCTACATATATGGTGAAACTCATTGCAGAAATACGTCATTTAGGCTGGATTAAGGAATCACCATTTTTGCGGAGTAAGTAATCTGAAAATATTTTTGACAGTGTTACCTTTTCCCTCCCAGTACTTGTATTATATTCTTGCATGCAGAGGATAATCAGTACATGAGAGAGTTTTATCCACCAAAAGCTGCAAAATGATCACTATGCGTACAATTGCTTCTGATACACTGGTAACCAAGATGATTTTTTAGCATGTCCTAAAAAAAAGTCCATTTCCTTTCCTTTTTACTCCCGTTTAACAAAATTTGATCTCCATTCTTGCAGCTGCTCTTAGGAAAAGTGCTGATGAAGGAAACTTTGGTACAAATGACATTTCGTTTTTAACATGGTCTGGAAAGTTGCACTAAATGGCAGGGGAACTTCTTGTGGCAAAAACTAATGGAATCATTTATACTTTATGCACTGTTGTAGCCTGTAATTTACTGCTATGTGGTGTATAACATTCATTTCACCTGCTTAGATGAGGATTAACATATACAAAGGCAAAATTGGAATGTGAAAAAAGTGTTTCCCCTTTTTGGCATCTACATCATGATAGATTTAGGTAAGTACAGTAGTATTTTCTTATTGGACACATGTTAATAACATATTTTGGATATCTGGTGCACAATTTGCATCCACACACGTCTAACTTGCAGTTTGACATATGTAATGGAAGTCCGAAAGCAATGGTTTTTACCACGCGCCCCACATGAATTACTTGAATCGACTCCTTTATATTTGAATATATGAAACAAATTCCAGCTGAAAGATAGTCTTATTTTTGGCTGATTATTGAGCTAGAAGCGGTAGAAAAATCTTCAAAGCTGATAAAAAGCGGTATGTCGTCGTAGCAGTGGAAACATCACTTAGATGCCTTCTTTTTGCTAAACAATGACATTCTTTATTCAAATTCAAAGAGGGGTTTATATAGTGAAATTGTGCCTAGATCGCTTATAATTTCTCCTATGAAAATGTACTATTTTACAGTATTTCCTTTGTTGGAAATGAGTCAGGTCGTTGAAGTAGCATGCCATAGATGGGAGAGGAAATCTTGCACTGGAATGATATACCATATTTTGTAATTATCACAATTATGATGACCTTTTATTTTATTTGTTTGTGTTGCTTTTGAGTTAAAAACGATTTTGCTTTCACCCTTTTACTAGTGCAAATAGTCGCACATTCGTGCAACTTTAATCTGGCTCTGTATTGGATGTCTTTACATGTTATTTGAATAAATTATTTTTAGTCTATTGAGGTTTATAAATATAAGATAAGGGTTTATTTGTAAATGTTTTTCAAATAATCCATGTCTAGATAGAGGATTAAGGTGCATTTATAACTTGACCAATTTTTATTAAATAGGTTGAGGGCCCGTTTATAATATAATAAATAGAGGGGTTTGAACATGATATGTAGGTGAATAAGGTTAGGCCCCCAATCATAGTGATCATTTGTGTAAATGGTGGACATGAAATTGACGTAACTCACAAATGTTGGGAACATATTAGCATTGTTTAGCTTATATAAATTAATGTATTAGGGAATGAAATTATCATAAAGTCTAGTTAGCAAGCACATTTGTTTTGATATGTAATAAACAATATTATTATGACAATAAATTATCTACCGACTGCAAACTGTATGGACTGGATGTATGGACTCGACTGGATGTATAGACGAGGGATCGATGGGATGTTTTTATTTCTTATATGTATGGACTTCATATATGGATGTATTGATGGATTCTATGGATGTATGGAATGATGTTGGGATTGATGGATGGATGTATGTTTTGTATGGTTCTCTGGATATATTACTGCCTGTAAATTTCTGTGATTTGATGTTAGCCTGTGTTATGTGCAAAGTTTTGCTAAAGTTTAGCAGGGCTGGGACGTCAGCGCCATGCTAAATGGCGCTGACATGTCCAAACTCAGTGCCAGTGCACCTGGCGCTGAGGTCCCAGCCCAGCCATCCAGAAGGCTTGCTGGGCTGGGCCACGGTCGAAACGGCCAAGTCCCACCTCAGCGCCAGGTGGACTGGCGCTGAGTTTCCCACAGTCAGCGCCATTATGGCTGGCGCTGAGGTCCTAGCCCGCAAGCCATCCAGAAGGCTTGCTGGGCTGGGCCAAGGCCGAAACGGCCAAGTCCCACCTCAGCGCCAGGTTGGCTGGCGCTGAGTTTCCCAAGGTCAGCGCCATTTTGGCTGGCGCTGAGGTCCCAGCCCGCAAGCCATCCAGAAGGCTTGCTGGGCTGGGCCATGGCCGAAACGGCCAAGTCCCACCTCAGCGCCTGTCCCACGGTCAGCGCCATTATGGCTGGCGCTGAGGTCCCAGCCCGCAAGCCATCCAGAAGGCTTGCTGGTCTGGGCCTTGGGGTTGCGGCCAAGTCCCACCTCAGCGCCAGTCCGGTTGGCGCTGAGGTAGCTGCCACGTCAGCTGGGGATCGGCCCCGGCCGCCACGGTGGTACAATGTCAGCGCCAGTCCCGTTGGCGCTGACACGGCCAACGTCAGCGCCAATGTGTTTGGCGCTGAGGCGACGGCCTATTTTTGGTTGAAGTTTTTGGCAGGGGTTAGTTTCGAAATAAGTTTTCCAAAAGGGTCAATTTGTCAATAAAACGGCCATATATGTATAGGATTCTTTTGTATCCTTAGATTCATTGTATACTCCTCTAATTGAGGATCTTGTATATTGGAAAGGCTATAATATAGGGGCTTTTAACTATTTGCCACTTTTAGATTTGGCAAATAACTATTTGCCACCCCTATCTCAATGACATGTGGGTCCACATGTGTCTATGACATGTGGGTTCAGTGGCAAAAAGTTATTTGCCACATCTAAATGTGGTAAATGGTTAAATATCTCTATAATATATGGTCACCCCCCTCATTGGGGAGTGTGGTGTTCCCTCCTATTCTCTCTACATGGTATCAATTCCAAGTTCTCCTCCTTCCTTCCGCATCTCTGAACTTTCCTTTGTGTGCTACACCAGTGCCGTCGTCTGCTGGTCGCCGCCCTCCTCATCGCCATGTCGACGTCCTCTGCCACCTCCACCGCGACCGGCACCTCTATAGCGCCGGCCTCCACCAACGCCATCGCGACTATCTTCATCAACCCATACACGACCATCTCCGTCAAGACTCATGTCCCGATCTCCCTTGAGCTTCGCAACCCCAACTTCAACAAGTGGAAGACCTTATTCCGCTCGATGTGTGGCAAGTTCGGTCTCCTCGACCACCTCGACTCCGCACCTCCTGCAGATCCTGACACCTCATGGGAGCAAGCTGATTTCTGCATCCGCAGCTGGCTGTTTGGCTCGGTCGCCGACGACACCCTCGACCTCGCCATGGAGCTGGATCAGACGGCTCGTGCCCTCTGGCTCGCCATCGCCGACCTCTTTCAAGTGAACAAGGAACCACGTGCAATCTTCCTTCACCATGAGTTCCACTCCATTATCCAAGGCGATCTCTCCATCATTGCCTACCGCCAGCGCATGAAGACGGCAGTCGATGCCCTTCGCGACGTCTGCCACCCTGTCACGGAGTCGCAGCTGATTCTTAACCTCCCGCGCGGCGTCAACTCCCACTTCACCAGCACGGTGGACAACATCGCGAGTGCTCCTGTGCTCCCGTCCTTCACCTCTACGCGGAACACCCTTGCTCTCAAGGAACTTCGTCTGGCCAACGATGCCAAATTAGTCCAGACAGAGACCGCCCTCGTCGCGGCAAGCAGCGCTGCTACCTGTTGCCCTTCAGGGTCCTGCTCCTCCACTGGTGGTGGCGGCAATCATAAGACGGGCGGCCATGGTGGGAACAAGAAGAAGAATGGCGGCCGCAACTACAACCGCAATGGCAGCAGCAACAGCGGCGGCAACGGCGGGAATCGTCAAAGCGGCGGCGGCACCTTCTCCTTTGCCGTTTCACGCCCTCCGTCTGGACCATGGTTCTCTGTCTCCCCATGGGCCGGCCAGCAGTAGTAGTGGCACACCCCCGGTATCTTTGGGCCATACCCTCAAGCGCACACCGCCTTCGCCGGCCCGTACTTGTCGCCAGCCACCACTGCTGGACAACCGGCCTGGGATCAGGCTTGACTGGTGGCTGCCCTCAACCAAATGACGGTTCACAGCCCTAATTCTTGGGTCCTCGACACCGGCGCGACCTCGCACATGTCATCCATGGTATACTCGTTACTCGCTTGCCCAACTCTCACACCTATATTACTGTCGGCAATGGTCACACTATTCCGGGTACATGTCGTGGTTCTTCCTTTCTACCTATAGGCACCACAAAATTTGATCTCAAACATGTCCTTGTTGCTCCTTCCTTGGTTCGCAATCTTCTTGCGGATCGCTAATTCACTCGTGACAACCATTATTCTATTGAATTTGATGAGTTTGGTTTTTCTGTAAAGGACCTCCAGACCCGACGCGTGATTCTTTGTTGCAATAGTCGTGGCGATCTCTACACCCTCCCGGCAGCCGCACCACCCATCGTCGCTCACTGCTTCCAGGCCACCTCCACCACCATTTGGCATGGCCGCCTCGGTCACCCCGGATCTGCAGCCGTCCTCGCCCTACAGCGCATCTCTTCCATACCCTCGTCAAAGCCAGATAGTTCCCTTTGTCATGCATGTCAATTAGGCAAACATACACGTCTCCCTTTTACTCGATCAAGTTCCAGTACTTGTTCTCCTTTTGAATTAGTTCACTGCGATGTATGGATTTCTCCTGTTTTGAGTATCTCTGGCTACAAATTTTACTTGGTTATTCTAGATGACTTCAGTCATTTTTGTTGGACATATCCTCTTCGTCATAAGTCTGATGTTCATCAACACATTGTGGACTTTGTTGCATATGCACACGCACAGTTTGGTCGCCATCTGAAATTCATACAGGCCGACAATGGCACTGAGTTCGTCAACCGTAGCACCACATCCTTTCTTGCTAGCCGCGGCTGCCTGCTCTGCCTCTCCTGCCCATACACGTCCCCGCAAAATGGCAAAGCCGAGCGTGTGCTTCGCATCATCAACAATTCTATCCGCACTCTTCTCCTTCAGGTCTCCATGCCTCCTACTTATTGGGCCGAAGGTTTAGCCACTACCACATATCTCCTCAACTGACACCCTTCCTCATCAGTGCAGAACTCCATCCCATTCCAGCTACTCCACAACAAAATCCCCGACTACTCCCTATTATGTGTGTTTGGATGTCTTTGCTATCCCAACCTTAGTGCTACCGCCACTCACAAGCTCGCCCCTTGCTCCGTCGCTTGCGTCTTCTTAGGCTATCCCACCTCGCACAAAGGCTACCGCTGCTTTGACCTCTCCACTCGCCGCATCATCATTTCTCACCATGTCGTCTTTGATGAGACTCGTTTTCTGTTTGCTCGTCATCCGGTCGATGTCTCTTCGTTTGATTTTCTGCTACAGGAAGTGACTACTCGCACCATGGTCGCTCTATCCATCACAGGTGTCGAGCAACCGCGGCTCTCCCTGCCCCGCGCCACAGATGACCCGGTGCGGTCGTCTTTGGTGGCCGCTCCCTCGGATGAGGTCGAGCAGCTGCTTATTCCCTACCAGGTGGCAATCTAGGCGGCTACATCTCCTGGTGCCTCTCCGTCACGTGCAGCCCAGCTTGCTGCT